ACACACACACACACACCAACAGCCCCTCCCCTCCCCTTTTTTCTTGCTCTCATTATCAACTGCAGCCAGATGATTTCACAGATTATCACACCTTCACACAGAAGAGGAACTAATAACGATTAATTGGAAAAATGATGAACTGGTTAAAAGCTAATAAAAACCAACACGTTGTGGCGGTCCCTGCAGTGTAATGTGTTGTGAATAAAAACCTGCACATTACTGTCTAACACCTGAAGTCACAACATTCAGATCTGGCCCTACCACTGCTCTGTGGTGGTTCCAGGTAATGTTTGAAATCTAGGAATTTGGTTTGCCTAGAAATTTAAAACGCAAAGCCAGCCCCTCCCCCTCTCCACCTCCTGACCCCAATGCACCCCTCCCCCTCTTTTTCTTTTTTTTTTTTTTTTCCTTTTGGCTGCTCACACTCACAGCATAGCTCCGCCTCAGCAGCCTCTCCACTTATTTGATGTCACGGTTTTGTTGGTTTTCCCCCCCAGTGTGGCACGCTGGGTGGGACAGTCCCTGCTTGGCTTCTGATTCAACAAAGGTCAGATATTTTTAAGTCGCTGCCGAGCTCAGGTGGCCGGAGACTCGCGAGGAAGGAGCTCTGAGCTGACTCACTCACTGACTGACTGACTGACTGACCCGAGTGACTGCACTGCAGAAAGATGAAGTGCACATGTGAGACTGAAGTACAGTAGGCCTGTGGACTCCCAGGGCCCTGCCCAGGCATGTAACGCGATCAAGATGGACTGTTATTGTAGGCAGAGGCTTTAAAAGTAGCTGCGCGTGAGCCTGCGTGTATGTGGGTTACTTGCACGACTCGTCTGCACAGTATAGGTCAGGCAGTCTATGCAACGAAGGCTGGAATGCAGAGCTGAACACACACACTCGCGCTGCTCGTCTGGCCATCTGGTGATGCTTATTGCACCATCTCGACATCACACACAGGGGTAAAAGTAGGTCAAACGTTCAGCAAGGTAAATCATTTTTTTAAACGCTCACCAGAGTCAACAGCTCGACCCACGTTCTTTTCTCCTTTTTAACATGCTCGTTCCCAAGGAAGCGAGCGCTCCTCTTGTCGTCTGCTCGTAATCATGCGGCCTCCGCCGACGACTCTGACTTCAGTTTGACCCTCTCAGATAAAAGGCAGGTTATCGTGGGGACATAAACAGAGACTGAACCCAGCAGGGGCCAGCTTCTCACTTCAGCTCTGCTCTGTGTCACGCAGGACGTAGGGGGCCTTTTTTTTTGTTGTTGTTGTTGCAGACAGTCACGTTTGCTCAGCCTCGCCTCACGGAGCAAATATTCTGTAGTACTTAAAACCGAGGCTCACCATCACTGCCTGTTTTGTTTGTGAGCCTAAACCCGCTCTTCCCTGAATGCCTTATCGCCATCTCAGGTGTAAAAAGCGTCCCAGGCACCGTTGTACACAAATAATCTGAACGGCTCCCCTGCTGTTCAAGATGCTATCTGCTTTCAGGAAGCCAAGATTGTCGGCTGTGTCTGGCAGTGACATACGCAGAAAGAAATGAAAACAGAGCGAGAAATGGAAGGGTGTAAAACTTTATTATTAGTCCAACGTTATGACCGCTAATTCACAGCGGGCTGCGTACCTCGTTTTGATAGAACACACTCAGGCCTGTGCTTTACTCAGTTAAAGTTTCATTTAGTGAAGGGTCTTGTTTAACACAGGGTTTTTTTGGGGGGATCTTTTTACCCCCGACCCCCTTCCAGCTGTGATTTTAAATGTTGGCCAGTGAGTGAATGCAAGAGGCCCTGTCAAATTCTTCAGCCTAGTCAAAGGCAAACAAAAGTGTGTTTGTTGATAGTAATCACCAGGCCTGTGTTAATACATTGAAACTGGTTCAGACACGGGTTTACGTCCACCCTGTGCAACCTGATCGTTGCTTCACATCTGCAGCCACACAACATGACAGACTTTGGGCATTTTAAAGCTAAGAGTTTTGTAACTTCACATTTTTTATGTAGCCTACTTACACACGTTTCCCCCACATTTATTTGTTTATTTATTTTTATTATATAGAAAATGCTTTGGGTTGGAGGCTCAAAGGTATAGCGGATAGTTGAATCTCATTCCCAGCATCAACATTTGACGACATTTGAGGAATGAGAGTCAACAAACGACAATCTCTCCTGGCTCTGATTGGTTGGTTTTTATTCAGGCACTGTGGATTCTTGCAAATGCCAGATTAGATGAGAGATTATCTTCCTCATTTACTACTGTTAGGATAAAGTGTTGGATATAAGTTACCTACTGCAGCTTCAAGAAGCTGATCATACAATTTGTACATTAAATCTTTCCATCTAAAATTTAGTTGAGGAGAAGCATCAAATGGAAATTCTGAAGTAAAGTAGAAGCAGGGCTGGAGCCAGACGTTTAGAAATACTGAGGTCATGAGTTGAAATTCCCCCAGCAGAGCCCCACCCACCTGGAAACTGCAGACTAGTCACCAACAACTGTTCAGTTATATTTTTATTGCCCTATATTTTCTCTAAATACTTGTTATTTTAGTTTAAGAAGATCAAAATTGACCTCAGACAAACTCAACATGTGAAATATGTGTGTTATTGTAGGATTTAAACTCCTCTTCGTGTCATTAAAGCGCCCAGATTCCCATAAATATCACAGAGGACATGACCCCTGTGTCCTCATTGAACACCTGAGCACAAATACCTGCAGAAGCAGAAATACTTAAGAGTCAGCTGAAAGGTATTCAGCCTTTTAATCGGCTACAAACTGACAAGCTAATCAAGCTGAATAATGTTTGCTCTGACAGCTGAATCATATTGTAATGAGACGATCAAATTTGAGCACATTTTAATTGTTCAGGTTAACAATTCTGGGCCAATTATTAGCCCATAAATAATGTTTAAATACACAATTAGTCATCCAAGTGTTTGTATTGCACATATAAACAGTTAGTGACACACATTTCATTGAACAGTTAAGCCTATATTATTAATATGTCACATTGAAATGAAGCACTAATTAACTGGTTCCCACTTATCACATGTGAGTGTATTTTGGTTTTCTTAGCCTTGTGTGACAGTGAAGTGAATATTGCTGGGCTCTGGACTGTTTGTTGGTAAATTGACATTTGAAGATGTCACCATGGCCTGTAGGAACCTGTGATGGGCATTTTTCACTATTTGCTGACATTTTAAACCGATCGATTAAATAAAGAAAAATACAGATTAATCGCTGATGACACTCGTTAGTGGCAACCTTATAATATTTGAAAGAAAACTATCCTTTATTAATATAATGTTACTGACATCAGTATTATTACAGAGAATTACTGAATGCATTTTCCTTTTGTGCATTACTAAAAGCACTGTGATGCATCAGCAGGGCTGATCCCTTCCAGCAAAGGTGACGAGCCAAGGTCCTCCAGATAAAAGGCAGTTTCACCTTTCAGTGTGCCTTTCTTCTGCTCCACTCTGCCGATGTCTTGCTCCGACAATAAACATGATCCTCTCTGCCATCCGTACCATCTGAAGGGATCGAACCTTGGGTTGTGCTGTATCATCAAGGATTTTATTTGTAGACAGAGCCAAAGCACATTCCTCTGTCTCATCAGTCTCTGTCTTTATCAAAGGCCACTGCCATGTTTTGACTGGAGTCCTCCAGTTTGAACGAATTTTTAAACAAGCTGCCGTCCAACATGCCACACTTTCTCCCTTCTGGACAAAAGAGCCGGCTTCAGATAGGTGGAGTTAACCCAAAGCAAAAGCAACAGGTTTTTGTTGTTTTTTTTTGCTGATGTGACAAAGCTGCCTTTTAGTTTAGGTGTGACCTTATGTGGATCTGTTGCAGGGCAGTTCTCCACCGAGGACGAACTAGGCTTGAATTGTAGCTGGACAAGTTTCCATTTCTTTATAAAGGGCACAGGCTTCAGAAATGATGAATGACCGTGGCTTAAATTTGTGAACAAGACTTGAAGTTTCTCAGCAGTGTTTTATTCCCTCAGCATGTCCACGGAAGAAATTGATGCTGCAGTTCAGATATTTTTCTACAAGACGGTTAAAATTGTTCGATTTTTTTGGCAGCTGCGTCAGACATTTCTTTGCAAAACCTTTGCCCGTTGCTTTGCTCCAAATAACTGCTGATAACTCGGATAAGTAGTGACATCAATCAAAGCAGAAGCATGATTAGATCCAGTCTGGTAGCCTGCAGTGAGCGTGAGTGTTTGGCTTTTTTAAGTTGTCAGTTTACCATACAGCATGGCATTACGGTCCCCAGCAAAACTTTTTTTAGTACACTGTGACAAGTGAATTCCAGTTATTGGCTCTTGGAAATGTAGGAAATTGTGAGGTGCAAAGCCAGAGATATAAATAAATGTGAAGATGTTTGTAAAGTTGTCTTGACATGTTGTGATCTAACAGTTACCTAAATGAGAGTAACCCTCAAATAATGTGTCTGTAGTCTCTCTGTCTGATTTTGAACACAGTTCAGCTTGTGGCACATTTCAAGTAAAACCAACCAAGGCATTTTTTTTATGAAGTTGGCAATGGCTTTTTTTTCTTTTGTGTTGACTTTTTGACTGTTGCACATTGGGCGGCCCTGCTTATTGGGGTTAAGGGACGCTAAATGAAAGCGGCCCCCGTGCCTTTCATGTGGTGCACGGCTGTGGAAAACCCGCTGCAGATTAGGGCCACGTTTTCGAAACAAAAAAAAAAGGCTCCCAGTGTGACGCATCAACTCCAGTTGAGCAGATGAGGAGAAACAGCAGCACTGGTGCGGCTGCAATGATGACTCAGCAATCTGAGGCCAGCCTCTGTCTCCACATCACCGGGCGGATCGTGTGTGTGTTTTATGTGTGGGTTTATTTGTGTGTGTGTCTGTG